AAACTTATTATCAGTAGTTAATAAAGATGATATTTTATTTTTCTTATCTCTACTCATTTTTTCTTCTTTAAGTAATATTAAGGAGATAAATATTAAAGTAATAGGTATGTCTTGAGTAGTTGATTGTATTTCTAAATATTTATTGAGTAGTAATTATGCTAATATTTATTCAAGAGTATCTGAATTATATTTTTCAAGCTATTAGAAGATATTTAGTAGTTCTTTATTTGATTTTGATTAACTCAGATTAGATACTTTTATAGATATATCTTATTATTTTCTTTGTTTTTATTCTGTTAAATATTTACTTCTTTTATCTTTGAATTCAAATATCTCTTTTGCAATTTATAAAGATTTATTTATATCTGTTCTGCTAATAAGTCAGTTTCTTCTTCTATTAGAATTGCAAAATCTTTTCTTATTTTGATTTAGATTTTATCATATATTACCTCTTGATGAAAATGATAGGATTTTTCTCAGATAACTTGATGATTAGATTTAATATAATCTTTAAAATATAATTCAGTAAATAATTAAAGTAAAGAGTCTTTCTCTTTCTATTTTGATTTCTTTAGTTGGATTTACTTTGATATATTATAAAATTATTTTTTCAGTTACTTTTGATTCTTTACTAATTTTAGTTTAATCTACAAAGAATTCTTTATCTAGATTTGAATTAAATTTAATAACCCTATAGAATTGTTTTTTCACAGAGAGAGCATCAAAAAGTTATTATCTTTTTAATACAAGTTTGATATAAGAGCAAGTATTAATTCTAATATTACAAAAGTATATGATAAAAGTAATCATATACTTATAATAATATTTGAAAAAGTCTTTAAAGATTTATTAATAAGAATATAAATACTATTATTTATCTAAAGATAGGTAATAATAGTGTTCTTGTTGTGACTAGCTAGAATGTAATCTAATTCCAAAATATAATTTCAAGACAGATATAATATTCAGTTTATTAATAAAATGAAATAATAAATTTTAATCAAAATCTATTCTACAAGAAAGATTTCTTAGAATTCTCTTAAACTAAAATCTACTTAAATATAAATTGAGAATTAAATTCATAAAACTCAAACTAAACTAAATAATTAACTAATTAACTTGTTAACTAAGCTATTGACTAACTAACTATCTTAATTCACTAGCTAAAATATATCACTTTTATATATTTTAAAGGTTATATAAATGATACTTTTGTTATGATACTTATATTAGTTTTGTTATAATCTAAATATTACTTTAGCTAATATTATAATGTTAATTATGTTATAATAGTATTATTAATTTTGCTATAATAGTTTTGCTAACTTTGCTATGATAATTTTATCATAATCATCATATTTACAAAATCTTCTAAAAATATCTATAAATAATATTTTCTAAAGCTAATGTCCAATAAGATATAAATAATTATTCATTCAATCATATTATGATATGAAGTGATTAATAATATATAATTAACTAATATTTTATTAAAAGTTTATATTATAACAGTATTATGTATTATAAGAAATAAAGAATTAATATAATTAAGTGATCATTACTATCATGTGATTATATAATTTATATAATATTATTAGTTTATTATATATTATGTTATATTATATTGTATATAGAAAATTAAAATAAAATCATGTAATTGGTAAGTCAAGATATTTCATATTATATAATTATAAATATTATATATACTATTTATATAAATATTTTTTAAAATATTTTTTTTATTAATATTAGTATTATATATATTACTTATATAAATATTTTTAAAAATATCATAATTAAATATATATAATCTAATATAATTTTATTATTTTTAGAAAATTATAAATTTATTATATAATATTAGGATATAAAATTTAAAACTGATATTTTAAAGAAATTAAAAAAAAATATCTTATAATAAATATTTATTTTTATAAAATTTGGAAAAAATAAGAAATTAGTATGATAAAATAATATTAATTTATATTAAAATTAATAATACTTTCAAGTTAAAATTTATCTATATTAGAATTATCAATATTTATTAACTATATTAAAAAGACTTTAATAATTTTTAAATAAGACTTGAGAAGTTCTTAAGCTTAAATAATAAGTTATATAATCAAAAATTTATATATTTTAAAATATATTTAAGTATTTATATAGAATTAACTAATATTATTTGAATAATTAATATATTTTATAACTTAAAATAATTTAGTAATATAATAATTTCTGTTGATAAAAAGTTGATATGAAAAGATATAATATATAATATAATATTATAATGTTATTTATTTATAATATTAATATTACAAAAGTTTTTATTATTAATAAATAATAATCTTAATATAAATATAATTATTATTTAAATTTTTTTACATAAAAAATCATGAGTTATTAAAACTTGCTTTATTATAATGGTATGATATATTAAAAGAAAATAAAGATAAAAATATAAAACTTTATAGATGTTCAAGATTATGATTAACTAAATAATATATATATATTTATTTAAATTTAGTTAATATAAAAATATATATTATATTAAGATATGGAAAAAATAATGAATATTTATTAAATAAATATATTTTTTAATATTAAATAAAAAATATTTTAGAAGTTTCAAGTCTTGAAAATAATTGAATATATGAGTATATATATATTTATTTAGATTATATAATCTAAACTGATATTAATATAATAAATTAATTTTAAAATAAGTATTTGAGTTAACTATTAATATATATTATTTATTATTAATAAATAATATATTATAATAATAATCAATATATTATTATATATTAATAAATAATATATTAATAATGATTAATTATTATTGATATAAATATTTATTAAAGATCATTAGAGTTATCAATTAATATTAATATTTTAGAAAGATATTTATTAATTTTTATAGATATGGTAATAATTCTTAATAAATATTTCTTCAAAAAATTTCCTGATATTCATCTTTGTAGCTGATTTTAGATCTTCTATAAAGTATATGACCTCATATTTATAATTTATCTAACTATATTTCTGAACTTTATACTATAATCTTGTATAAATCCTATTTGATAAAGGAGACATAGTTATTTGTAATAATGTTATTGGTAATATGATAGCTGGAATACTTCTTTAAGTACTGTAATAAAAGCTTGCTAATTTTCAAAGGATATAATACTATTATCTGTCTTAACTTTGTTAAGATATTAATGTAAAGCTATATTAGTCAAAGAGATAATGACATACTGTATTTAAGTTTTTTCATCTGTGATTTCTTAAGTCTGAAATATAGTTTTAACTTGCATGATCCAGATAGATACATTTTCATTTAGCTCTCTTGAGTAAGTTAATAATTTAACTAAGAGATAAGATGAAGATTTAGAACCAGAGAGATCATCTTCTTTAACTATCTTGATAAATTTAGTTATGCTTTGCATAAATTAGATGAATTATTCTGAGTTTATTTTGATAAATTTATTTTACTAAAACTAAAATATGTATGTGTGAAATATATAATATGTGATATATAATATATAAAGTATTAAAGGATGATATTTGTAATAATCATATCTACTACTATCAAGTTATAAAATTATTTTATTAATAATTGTAAACAAGATAAAATACAATATGAATAATTTTAATTTTATAACTTATAATTATTTTTATTATTTAAAAGTATTTAGATCTGAGGTTAAAAATACAGAACAGAGAGATCTTATTTATAAAAAAAAAATAAATACAAAATACAAATAAATTAAATATAAATTTCTAATTTAAATTATATATGGTTAAATAGAATTAATTAACTTAATTTACATCTTCAGAGAATAACTAATTATAATTCAATAATTAATAATATGATAAATAATTATAAATAATAATATAAATAATAATTAAAAAGAATGAATAAGAAATATAAAGAAATATTAATAATAAATATAATTAAAAATATTAATAATTTAAATTAATAATTGTAATATACATGATAATTATTTAAGTAATAATATACTAAATCTAGATGTATTAAATACATAATGATCATTTGTGTATCCAGAGTGAAAATGATCTTCTTGAAAATGTAATACAAAGCTAATCTGTTATACTGATAATGCAAAATAAAGATCTAAACTAAAAAGAGATCTAAAGAAAGATAACTTAATCAAAATTGTTACAAAAATTTAAGAAATAATAATTGAAAAAATTATTATTAGTAAATTTTTTTTTATAAAAGATATATAATAAAAATTTAAATAAATCCCAATATATAATAACTTAATTAAATTAAAATTTTATTTTAAAAAAATAATTTATTGATGTTTATCTGAAATATAAATCTTTTATACTGATTTATAATAATATTTATGATAATTTAATATATTTTAGTTTTTAAAATTTGATTGAATAATCTTATATTAAATTAAAATTAATTAAAAATTAAAATAATTGTTATTTAAGCATTTTTGAGATTATTAATTTATTGCTTTCATAAATTTTGCAAAATTTTTATTGGATATGATGTAGATCACGTGGTTTCTTATATCGCGACCAATTCAAATAAGAATAGATGAGTTTGAGAGTTTCTTAATAAACTTTCTTATATCAAGTGTAATTTATTAGACTTAAATCGGGACTAGCCAAAAACTTTCTTATAGACCAACTTTCTTATATTGGAGGGTTCTTATATCGAGAGTCACTTGTATATCAAGGTTATTGTAATTTGAGATTATGACGATCAAATGTACTTGTATAACGATAATATTCGATTTATTTGTAAATGCTGAAAACGGTAAATGTAGCTTAATGGGGAAAAAACAAAAATTCTTACACCTGAATTTATTTTTTCTTAATCTAAATTTATGCGTTGACAATAACGATAACGATAGTGATTTTATAGTCTTATACACGTCACACACACATAAAATATATACAAATAAATGAATGAAAACACCTATCAACGAAATAAAAAATAGATAATGATTGAGAAATGATTATGAAGTGGAAGATGCGGCGGACGGAGCGGATTGTGATGTTGTCTTAATTAATGATATTGGAAACAGATCCCAAAACGAACGACTTTTTGTCACCACAGTTGTATTCTCGGGTGCTTTTTGGGCATTTATCGGTTGGAAATGTTCTTCAGTTGTTGTATTTTCCTGTGAGAAAAAGAAAATTTGTTTCTACTCTTTATACTAAATTCACAAACGAACGAATTATTATTTCATACCTCATTCATGACTTCCTCCTGAATAATTTCTTCTTGTAATTTGCCCGACATTTGTTTCTTCTTCGTGGGTGTTTTTACCACTATTAATCATTAACGGAAATGCCAGATGAATTTGGTTAGTTTCTGATTGAATGTGTGCTTGTACAAACGCCATTAAAAACTAGGTTAAATTACCATTTCGCATTTTAATTGGATACGGTCTTCCCTCTTCGTCATGTTTTACATAAACTAAATGTCTTAATTCGGGTACTCGAGTCAACACCAGATCAGCTTGTGGTGGTGATCGATGGGCGACATATTGAAATACAGCATCAGGATCCATCGCATCTAAGTCACTCACATCCAAAAACCAAACATCTTTACGACGAAGTAACGAATGAAAAACTATTTTTCCAGTCACATCCATCACTGTCACTTCATTAATGACATTTAGCGGAGATAATTGTTGTTGTTGTTGTTGTTGATGTTGATGTTGATGTTGATGTTGTGATAGTAGTAGTTGTTGCTGTCTATGGATAATGGCGTCTTCATTCTCTTGATTTGGGATGTCGTTAACACTATTATTGCTTGCATTAAAAGTTGCTAATTTTGAAGCGAATATTCGAGGAGTGGGAGGGTTAGAGACTGAAGAAAAGGAGGTGTTGTCATCATTGCCTTTGTTATTATTGTTATTCTCATCATTATCATCATTGTTATTATTAATATCATGGTCATCAAAGTCTTCAATTTTTGATATAATTTTCGGTGTTTCTCCCGAGACAGCAGTTGACGAACCTGACGAAGAAGAAGAAATCAAGCCACTTTTGTCATCGAAAAGAACAGTGATTCTACGTGAATTTGCGCGAGAAAATCTTTTAAGGTCTGATTCGCTCATTATTCTTCTGCTATAACTTTGTCGTTGTTTTTTTTGATGTGCCAGCATTTTTGAAGATTATTTGTATTAATAGAAAAGGTTTTGTGTGTGTGCGTGTGCGTGTGCGCGTATTGTATATTTATGTGTCTTTTTAGGTGAATTTCCTTTTAGGAATGTTTCGTATATTATCTTTTATATTTAAAAGATATATTTATTTAGTTGAGAAGAAAAGAGGTGAAGAGAAAAAACCAATAATAACAATAATAACAATAACTAACAATGGCAATAACAATGACAATAATGACAAAGGCTAACTACTACTATATTACTAATAAATTATAATGATAAAAAAGATTTCGTTCGCAAATTTTGTGTCAACCCTATATATAAAAAGAATCTGGGAAAATGCATTTTACTTATCAAGGGAAAAATATCTGTTCCGGTTCCCTTTTCTCGGCCTAAGCATGTGTGATTCACTCCATTTCTTATGACGCCTAACTGAGTGTGTTACCTAAAGATTTCACGTAAGCGGCCGTTGAATCGGTTAACTTTTATCTATTACTATATATATTTTTAGAATAAATTAAAACTTTTTTAAATAACAACGTACAGAAAATGATGAAATAGTTTTTCTTCAATCAAAAGTAGTTCAATAGGCGGGACTGACTTGTGATTATATCGAATCAATTTTCAGCACAATGATAACTCTTAATTTAACTAAACTTCGTGTATTGTGATTAAGGTTTACATTTCACGCGTTGACGATCACGATTGGGACGTACCAATTTCGTAATTAAAAGCACACACATCATGCATAGAATGAACAAAAAAAGTTTATAGAAAGCTCGCGTGAGTGTCGTGTGAGTATTTTTATCCAATCAGATAGTAAACCACCATCACAATGAGAGATAACGATAATGTATGTGAAACAACATTCATTTTACGATTGGCACGAGGGGAAGTTAAATGAGCTAGCGTCGTTGTACAAAAGAAACTCTGATTGATCAATGCGTTATATAATTCAAAATTTTTGGAGTTTCGGTCCGATGGAGCGAAATATATGTGTTTCATTTTCTCGTGGTGAAACGTGGCCCATTTTTAGAAGTCGACGTAACTTTGTTAAACTTTTTACCTCCTTTAATTGGATATGTAAAAAGCGAGTTTAAACAAAGATGATATAGATATCCTTTTTGGTTTAATAAATAACACGTCATAGAAAAGTAACAGGATCGAGCGAATACTATTTTTGTTCCATTCAATTTTGCTAGTAAAATGAAACGAGTATGGTTGATGAAACATCGTTTGTCTATTTTTTTTTATTAATGAAAAATAATCCAAAAAAGTCATGGCAAAAAAAGGAAGACTGCAAACGTGAATTGGCGTTGATTGACATATAGTGGAAGTCTGACTTTCGGCCGCAGACAATTATAAGACTTATTTCAAATGTGTAAAGTTAGGTTTATCACATGATCAAATGAGTTTAAGAACAAATAATTAAGATTAGAGATGAACGTTTAGCAATGAAAGTATATATAAAATAGACTTCCTCGACACTTTTTGGTTTTGCCGCCGAATTGAGCGTTCTTTATTAATTTGTGCTACCAGTCTCTAAAATTGACTTGCGGACCGCGAACGATTTTAAATTTCCGAAATTAAATCTTGTATGCATGAGCGAGTTCCGCATGTGAATTTTAGAATTTCTCGTATAAATGTTGATTTATAAGAAACTAAAATTTTGTAGTCGGCAAGTGGATTTATTTATCATGTTGCGGGTCCGCAACTAAATTAAAAATTGAATTTAGACACTGACACCCAGCATTTTATTAACCTGGCCAAAAGTTGTGATTATGGAGGTCAAATTTCTTATTCTAAACAGCAGAACCCGGGAAAGGTTGTGATTCGACTGTAATTGCGCCTTTCTTCCACGCAGTCACAACCTCTTTAAAATCACACTTATTTTTGTGTGTTTATATGGTAATATTGATAATCGTTGAGTGAAAAACATGAAATCTACTTTTTAAAGCTCTTCTCTCAAAATCTAAATTATTTATATAATTTAGATTTGTCCCTCTTAATAATAAGAAGAGGGGATCTAGCTCAAATGGTAGAGCGCTCGCTTAGCATGCGAGAGGTACTGGGATCGATGCCCAGGTTCTCCATTAAATTTTTCTTTGACGAGTCGGAAAGAAGTTGGACATTTTCACAAAATTCATAAAATAGCAGCTTTTTTATTAAATTATAATTTGTCTAAATGAGTTATTTGCCAATTTAACCACTTATTATACTCAAGAGGCCACGCCTCTCTCACGGGTTCCATTATTTCCAAAATCTCTCTATGAGGTCGTCCGTCATTTTTCAAATTTAGCGCAATAACTTGGATTGTTTCTTCTGCTGGGGGAACATTCTTTTCTGACATATGTTCCACTAATACTCGCATCGCTTCATCCGGATCGTTAAATTCATCACACAAAATCGAAATATAATGCCTATATTGCTGCTCGTCTAATCGAAGTGTTTGAGATTTCCTAAAGATATCCCATTGCTTTTTAAGCGCATCTAAATCATCGAGTCGAGAAAGTCCATTACAAATAGCGACGACAGCTACTCTTAATTTCTTATTTGGGCATGGTAGATATATTAGATCGTTCCACGCTTTCATTATATCCTCACTCGTTCCAACTAACGTATGTCCCAGCAAAAGGGCTAACATTGACACAGCATTCTCTCTTACGCCTGGAATTGCTTCTAATCTTGGAAGCCAGCGAGTCAAGCGTATGTAATCTTTGCGATGATATAGACTGGTCATGAGTCTGGCAATTTGTTCAGCTTGTGGCTCTTGATTTTTAGCACGGAGCAAAGATGCAAAGTAAGGCTCGGCACGATATGGCATATTTCGGTCTAGATAAGCATTTCCTATTACGTCTATTGTGTATCTCAAGGGCATTATCTTTTGCTGCAGAAATAATTTAGTCATTCGATAGGCTACATATCTTTTACCATGCCAGACAAACCCTGCTACGATGTAATGTAATATTTCTGGTAATTTAGGCATATTACTTCGTGGGAACGTTTCAGCAAGTTCTCTTGCAGCTACAAGCATACTTTTCTTGGTATATAAGCCTTCAAACACAGTAAGAGTAACAACAGGGTGGGGACATAATCCTTCGCTCCTCATTATATTATATAAATTTAGTGCCTGATGAATTTGATCCTTGGCGATTGATTCATTGATAAGGTCGAGATAACTTTCAGAAGCAGGATCAATTGGATAAGATTCCGATTTCACCATTTCCTTATAAAACAAGTTGAGAAATTCAAGTTTTTTGAATCTTGTTGATTCGTGAACAAGGTTGCCCAAAACTTTCGCAGAAGGAAGCATATTGACACTCTTTACCGCTTCCAAAACGTCTTTGTAATCTAGGAAGGATCCCGAGCCTATAAGATTATTAATAACTCTGTCGAGATCTCTTTGTATCGGTTTATGACCAGCCGCTATCATATTCAATAGAATGTATTTGGCATGAAAAGGATCTTTCCAAGCAATGCCAAACAACATGCGTCCATAGCTCGATGCATCAGGCTCAACCCCACTTTTACGTATTTTATTCCATACCATAAAAATATGTTTAAATACATTTTTACTGGGTTTTTCCTTCTCTCGCATTAAATATTTTGGATCCTCACCTTTCTGATTATTTAGTGCCTCCTGCCGCATGATTGCGAACTGATGATTGAGAAGATGGTCTATGAGCACATAAATTGTTTTTTGTTCAATTTGCAAGTTATAATTTTCAAGAGAAAAGTCAAACACTTCAATTGCTTCATCAAGCCATCTATTACGTGCCAAACATCCAATCATCACGTTAAATATAATAT